ACTGTCCCAAATGCTCATGACCTCTGAAAAGCAACAAGAGATGTGTCAGATGCTGAGCCTGCCACCCGCCTCCACCCTGAGACAGCATGGCTCGGTGGAAAGGGAAGGCCTAGGTCTCCTGTGCAGGGCACTTCAGGTCTCTGGAGACGCAGGGGAGGTGCCAGTGCTACCAGCAGGACTCCTTCCTGTTCTTGTCCTTCTGCTCCCTTCCCTTTGGGTCCAGGGCTCACCTTTCCCAGGGACTTCCTCCCACCCCAGACAGTCGGGGCCCCCACGACTTTTCCCCAGCTCATAATTCTGAGATCGGGTGTCCTGCACTGGCAGAAGGACTCCCAAAGCCCCTACCATCCAGGCTGAGCACTTGCAGCGCTGGCAGCTTGACAAAAGGAAACTGCATCGCTATTCACGGGCTTCCCACTTGGAAACTCCTCTGTACTCTCCAACCTCCTCCTCCTCCACACTGCTGTGCGGCACACAGTGGAACAGGGCAGTGTGCCACAGCACCGTCATTGTGATGTAAGGTGTCCCACTGTGACATCCCCCACCCAAAGGAATCCAAGCAGCCACGCCTGGTTACCCACTGCTAGAGAGCAGACACCCTTTTCTGAGCCACCTTTCTTGAACAGCAGGCCCTGATTCTTGGTCACGATGATATGGATTCTGGTTTTGACTGCGACAGCGAGACTCGCACAGAGCCTCCAAATAACCGAGGCCCTTCACCTTTATTCAGGGCACTGCTCGTGACCTGGGCTCTCAGTTGGACCTTCTTAACGTGGCTGCCCCTTCCTGGTTCTGAAGCACTCTCCGTGCTCTCTTCTTCTCCATCCCCAGAGCCTGGGGAGTGGGGCTAGGGTCAGGGGACGTGGTGTCTCCTTTTTCCCCCAGGAGAGTGGAGGGCCCGGTGCCCCTCATTCTGCACGTTTGCCCTCCATCAGGTTGGAAGCCTACTTATATCTTCTTCTGCTTGCTGGGACCTAAGACGGGGCGGTGCATCTGCCCATGCCCCTGCACAGTACAAGGCATCGAGCTGCCTCTCCAGCTGCTGCGTATCTCTTGGCCTGGCAACTCCTTCCCACAGCCTGGTCAGAAGAGAGGAGAAGGCTCCAGGGAGACCTCACTGTGCCATTCCAGTATTTGAAGGGAGTGTATAAACAGGAGGGGGAAGGGCTGTTTACAGGGGTTAACAGTGATAGGACATCTCAACTAAAACAGGGGAGGTTTAGGTTGGATATGAGGAGGAAGTTTTTCACACAGAGGGTGGTGAGGCACTGGAACAGGTTGCCCAAAGGAGGCTGTGGATGCCCCATCCCTGCAGGCATTCAAGGCCAGGCTGGATGTGGCTCTGGGCAGCCTGGTCCGGTGGCTGGCAGGCTGGTTGAAACTAGACAACCCTGAATGTCCTTTTCAACCCAGGCCATTCTACGCGTTTTGCCCTGAATTTGTCTGGACCACCTGCTTCCTCACTCCTGGTCCTTCGGTGGCCAAGCATTGTGAAATGATGCTTAGAAGCTGAACACGTGCCCTCTTCCTATGGAGCAGGCAAAAAGAGGTACATTCAGTACTGGTCGCTGGGACAGAGTTGCCTTTTTCTTCACCATGCTTGGTATGTTGGTATGTTCTGGCTCTAGACACCCGTGCCCTCGTCCAGTGGAAATATTGAGATCCAGAATGACTTTGATTATGGAAAAGTCCTACAAGTGGAAATGTACTTCCTATTTACTGTAATTTCTCTTATTTATTGCTTTGTTTCTTGAATTATTAATTTTTTTGTGCTTACTCTGCCGTACCTCTGCCTGCAGTTATTTGTGCACAGGGATACAGAGGGTGTTTAACACAGCCTACCTGCACTGCCCGTGCCTGCCCTGTGAATGGCTGTGGGACTGACCCCAGGCAGGGCAGAGATGGATGTGTGGGAATGGAATTTTATTTCTGCATTTGATATTAAAAAGAGCAATTGTTTTGAAGAAGTACAACATAATGCATTTGGATTCTGTAACTTATCCTTAGAAATAGTCTATCTAAGAAGTAAAATACTGCGTATGTTAGCAGCGTGTTTTAGAAACATTATTACTGAATTATGTAATTCATTCTTTCTTGCAAAACTGTAATAGCTGTTAAATGTTCCAAACAACACGAGTATAGTGTGTTAGGAATTAGAAAACATATCCTAACAGAACAACTCTACAATAAGAAACTCCCAGCAAAAGAAGAACAGATTTAGCAAACATCAAAGATGTTAGGGCCTCTACACAAGGCCCAACTGTCTCACTGCGTGAGAAGGTTGGGATGTGACAGGCAGGCACCAAGACACTCCCCTGCTCTAAGCTTATCTTTGTGGAAAGAAGGACAAGCAGATATCCGCAAAATAACGATCCGGTGTGGAATAAGTTAATTAATTAACTACAGATTCACGCTTTTGCAGCAAAAATTTATGTTTGTCCTGCGTTCCCATGTTTAGTGAAATGTAACAGCATCTGCATCAAACACAGAGGAAGGAGTGTCTCAGTAATGTACATCACACACCAGCCAGGCTGCTAAGGATAGGTAACTCTTCTGGAACAGCTTCATCAAAACCTTACTGTATTAGCCTTGGTATCACCCAGAACTCGTTCCATTACTGCTTTGAGGGGTCAGAGCCTGAACTCTACTAAAAGGCCACATGTCATCATGAAATCAGGCACACTTGATACAACCACACCACTAAGGCTCCTCTGCTAAACTTCACTGGTTCCCAATGCTCGCTTAAAAAATAAAGTCCACTGAGAGCATCAAACGCCAACACGTTTCTCAGTATCTGAACATCCCTGCCTTGTCCATCTCTGGCCAGCAGGACTAAATTCAAAGCAGTGCAAACCACCATTCCACACAAGTAGCTGTGTTTAATCCTGCAGATCAGAGCTCAATAAACACTGGCTCAGCACAAGTCACTCACAGAGAACAGGGGCTCTGCTGCCACCAGCACCTGCTATACATCAGGAAGGAAAATGAACCGAGGAAAATGAACACAGCAGCATACAACTAAGAGCTCCTCGTGATTGTCAGCACTGAAAGGAAAGCAAGCTGAAGAAAAACCTCAGGTAAATTCATACAGGACAGCAAAGCAGGGAGGACAAAGGACTTGGACTGATCCTGAACTGAACGCATTAGAGAACAAGAGCCTTGAGAGGAGTAATTGGCTATACAGGTGAACGATACGCAAGTCTGAAATAATGATTTCTTCAGAAGACTCCAGGGTGTTCCTCATCAAGACAAAGGACAGTACATAAAAATATCAGGATGGATATAAGTTGAAAATTCTTTTCAGCTGGCCTGGCATCCTGGGGCAAGCTGAAGACTAGACAGGACACCAACACAGGAAGAGAGAACTAACAGCACAGGGGATGCCACAAAGAAAATCTCTGCTCAGACTGCTGTGTGAGGTGAGGGTGATACCTGCTGCCAATGAGAAGCACAGTGGAAGGACAGGACGGATGCCACCTGCAGCACAGACATTCACACCAGGGGCACAGTGCAGAACTACGATTCCAAAGCGATTATAAGGTTTTATTTAACAGTGCTGTGTGGGACGATTCAACTGCTTCAAGCTCAAACAAGCTGCAAGTGATTGATTAATCCGTACATCTCAGTGACCTCAAAACCTGACGTCTTGGAAAAAATAAACAGAACAGACCATCTCAAACAGCAGATATTCAATCTACAGAACTTAATCCAGCGGGCAGTCCTGTGGCCAAATTCTGTGCTGGCAGCAGAGTCTTTTTATGACCTTTAGGAACATTCCCAGTTACAGAGCTACCACAACTTGGGCACAAAATACACAGACCCACCTGGGAGAACAGAAAATAAAGAAGCAACTTACCCTTCGCTCATCCAACTCCACTCTCACTTTAGAAGTGAAACTACAAGTTTAAATGCCAGGAAAAAACGAGGGAAAAAAATCACCTGGTATTTTCCAGGCAAACCACCAAGATCATAGAATCACATAATGTCCCAAGTTGTAAGGCATCCACAAGGACCATCAAGTCCAACCTGATGCTCCAGGAAGGACAACCCAAATGCAGATGGTCTTTAAGCTGCAGCAGCTTGCGACCAGGCCCACAGCCCTGGGGAGCCTGGCCACAACCACTGGTACCAGATGCAGCAAGCACAGGGAGCAGGCAGGTAGGTACAGCAAGCAGCAAGCAAAGACCAATCTCTGAGAGGGGGACTGCTTACAGAAATAAACCTGGGGCCTGCCTACAGAAAGCCCATACCTTTCACTCCAGTAAAGCTCCACCATTTTGACAGCCAAAACACAAACTGCCATTTCACTTCTCATGGCTTTTCCCTGAACTCCCAAACAAGCAGTTACTTCAGGTCCCCTATCGCACTGCAACTGCTCATAATCAATAATCAAGATTATTTCTTTCACGACATAAGCAGCTCACTTCTGCTTGGTGGCAATTACTTCCATTCCCATTGCGTCCCTTCATGTGAGAAAAATCGCAGCCGGCTTTCTGACAGCCTCCTGCATGATTCCCCCAAAAGCACCCTGTATTTATTCTGAAGAGTGAAAGAAAGGAAGGTTCATGGAAATGGGTACACAAGGCTTGCAAGAGCTGCAGTGCTCCAGATCAGAGACAGGACCATCACAGTGCCAAAATACAGTTTATCACTAAAGGAAACATTTCAGAGCATATTCACAACTTCTGCATAAGCTGTTATGATTCAGCATATCCAGCTTTCTTATTGTTCAGTTGGAGAAGGCAGATGCTCTCACACATCAATCAACAAGCACCTGCATGAGCCAGCCCTCTGCTTTTCACGACAGACATCGCTACTGCTGGCTCTGACACCTTACCAGGAGATGCTTCAGTTCATTAACGTGGACTTTATTCCTTCCATCAGCAGCTACTCCTGAACTGACCTTCATTCATACAGTGACACCACCAACTTCCAGCATGAGCTAGCCTGCAAAACACAGAAAAGAGAGCAGGATGACAACCAACACAGAGATAACACGTTTTAATATTCACGAACAAAAAAAGTAACGGCAATACAGAAGGGCAGCTGCAGCAACACAGCAGTACATAAAGAAATGAAAACCTGGCCCAGCCCCAAGGCCCCACCTCCAGATGCCTCATTCAGCAGAGATCCATTATCTCAGCAACCACCCACTACCCAACCCGCCAGCGTTCCTGTGACCTGCCATCAGCTGATGAGACAGAAGTAAGATCACCATGATTTTCCAAGCCACGAGATGGGCCAGGACCCCACAAGAGGATTCACAATACTTTAGATGGTTCCTCATGAAGGCAGAGTGGAGGACCATCGCCTCCCTTGCCCTGCTGCCCACCGCTCTTTTGTTGCAGTCCAGAATACTGTTGGCTTTCTGGGCTACCAGCACACACTGCTGACACAGGTAAAGTTTTTTGTCTCCCAGGGAAGCCCAAGAGCTTCTTGGCAGGGCTGCTGTCCAGGAGTTCTCCCACCATTTAGTAGTTGTGCTCTGGAATCCTGCCTTCAGGCATAAAAGCCAGGGAAGCGTTGCTGGTGAAGACAGTGGCACAGAAACCATGAGGTACATCAGCCCTCTCTGCTCCTGTGCTTATTAACACAACAGTAGGCCCGCACCACCCCTGTCTACTCTTTCACTTGTAAGGAAACTCTATCAGCTGGAGCCTTCACACTCCTCTGCAAGTATCAGGTCCATGTCAGGTGAAAGCAGCCAAAGCTGACCCTGACTATCACAGCCCTGACCAGCTCCCTGTCGGCCAGTGTGAGACCCAGCTGAGCATCCCCTGTGTTTCCCCCAGCAGCTGTGGGAAGAAGTTGGCTGAAATCAGTGGCCTGTTGTTCTGCTCGGCCAGAGAATGCCAGGGCAATTGCAGCTCCCATGGGCAGCCGCTCATTGATCTGCAGACAGCTCAGATTGCTGACAAAAGGCTTCTGCCTGCTCTCCTTGATCAAGCAGTTGGTAAGCAGCCTGATCAAGACCACACAACAGTTAATGATGTTATTCTATAATAGCTCAAGTGACCAAAATGAGAGAATCTTTTCCATGGTGTACTGCACGTGAGTCATAGGCTCATTCACTTCTGGACACTTAAGGACACAGTTTGCAAAGGAATCCCTCGTTTTATCTCCATCTATCACTAGCTGTATCCAATAAAGTCCTGCAAGAAGACACAAAAGCTGGGACAGGCTTGCTGATAACAGCTGAGGACACACTGGAATGCCCATGACACAACAGCCACTGCAGTCAAGGAAGATCTAGAAAACACAGGTGTTGAAGCAGAAGGGAAAGAAATAAGCTTAGTCATGCTCCTGTGGCACACGACTCCATTTGTTCGGCTAAATTCCTTTATAGGCTGCCCTCATTATGCACAGCAGGGACAGCTTCAGCTGTCCCAGATGTGGGTATCTATTGTCAGTGCAGGTGTTGTTGGACAAAGGAATATCTGTTGTCAGCAACTGCGAGACCCCCCCACGGGATGTGATGCGATAGGCCCTCTCCCTGCTCTATGATTGATGTGTAGCACATGCCCTTAGGGGCGTAGATGAAGCACATAGGTTATATAAGCTAGAGTTCACATGTAATAAACGCCATTTGCTGTTCATCATATTGGTGTCTGCGTGCAGCCATTTGGTCCTGGCCTGGTTTTAGGTCAGTACCATAGGAGGCAATGCAACAAATGTCCTTCCAGGCTCTGGGAGTAACAGCCTACATTTCACCAGATATTTGCATCTGAACAGCTCCTTCCTATCCTTAATCTCCACATGTGAGCATTAGTGAGGTACCTCACAGGGAGATGTGCATGTTGTGGACATCTGATCTGAGGCAAGAGGAACTGAGGGGAGTATTGGGAGGGAGGGAGAGGATCAGAATGGGGGAATAAGGAGGGGAGGGATGAGGTGAGGGTGGGGAAGGGACCCTGGGGGTAAAAATGGAGAACTGGGGGGTGGTGTCGAAAAGGAATGGCGGGGAACTGGAATTGGGGGGTGGGGGATCTCTAAAGGTCAGTGTTGGGGGGGGATTCGAGGGGAGAGCATGACCCTGGGGGTCAGAAAGAGGGACTGGGGGAGTTTATGGCCGAACCGTGGACGGGAACGAGGCAGCGATGTATCCTGGATTGGGGGAGAACACACAGCGCACCTCCCCATACCGAGCAGAGGCCCTGAACAGCACAGAGGCCCCACGGGGCCAACGCAGAGCGGCCCCCACACCGGTGCCCCCCGCCCGAAAACCCACTTGTAGAAGCTGAAGCTGAAGCTGAAGCTGAGGCGACGCTCGGAGCCCGGAGCTGCCCTGCGGCGTTGGAGCAGCGCGCTGCCCCGTACCACTTCCGCACGGCCGCCTCCTTCTTCGCGGCGCAGGGTGATGACGTCACACGACGCCGCGCATCTCGCCCCAGTAGGCCCCACAGCTCCTCCCTCGCCCGGCCCCAACGCGCCGCTCCAATAAGCGCCCTCAGCGCGGGCAGAAAGTCATCAACCTTTTATTCTCATTATTACTACTAAAAATCTCTGTTGTCTTTTACGAATTGCTGTGAATTTTCACTCGGCACACGCAGGTGCGTTCTGCGTTTCCTCAGTTGCACCTCGCCTCCAATCTGACACGGCCGAGGGCTTTGCGGAGCTCCTCCTGCTGATACAAAGAGGAGAGGTTTCTTACGCGCGTGGGAAGCGCCGCGGCACATCCGCACGGCTCCCTTTGCCAGCCGCAGAACCCTGGCTTGCTCTGCTCCACTCCCTGGGCTGCCGTGGGTCGCCAGAACGGCGCTGCTGATGGGGGAAGGCAGCTGCACTCCTCCCTCCCGCCAGCAGTCGTCCCTCCACACCCGCAGCAGGACGGTTTCCCTCCCGTCCAGCGCTCTGTTTTTCTCCAAACTCCAAACGTCAATGGAAGTTTCCCATTGTTCTTGGCTATGAGTATTTAATTGTAATAGAGGGTTTGTGCATCTTGTTATTTTTCTTGCTTTCTGGAAACAAGAAAAGAAAAGAAATGATCTCTTGGCACTCAGCAGTGACCGCTAGCTTTGCCTTTGCTAACTACCATTTCAGCTTGTCTTGAATAAACCTGATGAGAGCAGTGGAATAATTAAACCTCCCAGAAAATTAACTGTTGTGGCAGTTTGTCTTTACATCATGCTATATAGATTGCAGTTCATTGTTTTAATGAAAAAAATTACTTTAAGTTCATCTGTGCCTTGGAATACTGAATGTAATTAAATGAATGTACACTATAAGATTTCATCTGGGTACACAGGAAGCATTCACTGAGCACCTTCCATCTCTTCTTTCACCTTTCATCTCAACAAATACACATGAGAAAAAGTGGGTAACAACCACAAGCACGCATGGACGAGTCAGAGCACCACATCTTTAACGAGGAGAGGATAGCCCTACCGTTTAGTTTCAGTCCCACTGGATATGACAGCATCACTGCAGTGGGATCACAGACAGATTGACGTCTGTGACTGCAGTGTTTGGAGACCCCTGTGCAGGGAGATGAAGTCAGCCTAAAGTGTTCTTTCTATATGTGTACTGGTTTTGCCTCAGTTGTCGTTATTTTCCCTTCAGAAAACTGCTGAAGCAGTGAACTGAAGGCAGGAGTTGTCTGGGCCATGATGCCTTTGGAGGGCAGGCTTGACGTCCCTATTGGTCATTTAACTACTTCCCTCCACTGCTCTGCTGCTGTGATCAGATCACAGTGAGAGTGTCTTAGCCTGCCCTTCCTCACTTGCTTTCTGGTTCTGAGTGCCTTGGAATTGTCCTTTCTAAACATGCCTGACACTCACCTCCTTTTGCTAGCTATGGTCTGTTTCACCTTTCTTTCAGTATATTCCCTCCCTCTTGTGTTGTGAGCACTGAAAGAACATCACAGAATCACAGAATCACAGAATTGTAGGGGTTGGAAGGGACCTCCAGAGATCATCGAGTCCAACCCCCCTGCCAAAGCAGGTTCCCTACACCAGGTTGCACAGGTCGGCATCCAGGCAGGTCTGGAACATCTCCAGAGAAGGAGACTCCACCACCTCCCTGGGCAGCCTGTTCCAGTGCTCCGTCACCTCACCTAAAGAAGTTCTTGCACACATTTGTGCAGAACTTCCTCTGCTGCAGCTTGTGTCCGTTTCCCCTTGTCCTGTCTCCACTCACCACTGAAAAGAGCCTGGCCTTACCATTCTGCCCCCCACACCTTAGATATTTATTAGACCTGGATCAGGTCCCCTCTCAGTCTTCTTTTCTCAAGGCTGAACAGACCCAGTTCACTCAGCCTTTCCTCGTAGGAGAGATGCTCCAGGCCCCTCACCATCTTTGTGGCCCTCTGCTGGACTCTTTCCAAGAGATCCCTGTCTTTTTTGTACTGGAAGTGTAAATGTTAGTGCTGTATGGAAGTGCAAACATCAGTGCTGCATGGAAATGGAATTAGGAATGGTACATGGAAGTGGAACTGAGGGTACGAATAGTGGAATTGTGAAAAACAAAACAAGGAAGACCTAAATCAGCACAAAGTTTAAAGAAGAGCACTGGGTTAAAATATTCAAGTCTGTGATCTGCTCCAGCCAAAGCAGATCAGCGCCGGCAAGAGAACGCATCCCCTCCCCCCCCAACCCCCCAAAGCAAAATGCGGTGTTCTTACTGCAGTAAGTGATGAGGCTGTAACCAGAAGGGAAACCACTGGCAAAAGTGAGGGGGTTTGCTTTGTTAGACGTTTACAATCTCGTATAGGAAAACAGGTAGGCGTACACAGATTGTTGTACATGCCAAATTCATCCAAACTTTGACTAGGGCGTGAGTTACTAGAAGAACTGTAAACTGAAATAAAGTTTAAAGGAAAATTGGAATTGGAGATAAAAAAGAACAGTTACTAAAGGTGCTTAGTTGAGCATTGTGGGAATCAAATGTTTCTGCATTAGAATTGGATAATTTTTTTTATTTATTTATTTCATGATCTCCGCTATCATAGTTCTTTTTGGGAGTCCTTCTACTTCACCTGGGGAAGATCTCTGATAGTTTACATCACTGATCCTCTAGACAAACCTTCCCAGACACGCACACTCTGTATAGAGATGTATATATGTATATTTTGTCACACATACTGCAAGAACATCCTGCACGAGAGCAAACCAGAGAACAGCCATGGCCTGCCCGAGGAAGCGCCTGAAGAGACATCGGCAGGCCTGACATCACACAGATTGCTGTACATTCATCCAAACCTTCACTAGGGCATGATTTACTAAACAACAACGCCATGGCCCAGATACAAAGGGCTGGGCTCTCAGCTGCAGAGGGCAGCGGTGACCTTCCCACTGAAACGTGGCAGCTCTCCTAGTAAAGGAATACTCATGGCTGGACTGTGCTGCCCTTCGAGGCTCAAAAAGGCTCAGAAGATCTTGAGAGGATCTGAAGTAAAATTGCACCCAAGTGACTCGTAATTTCAAGGACTCACGACTTCCCTGCGCGTGCGCAACAGACCTAAATGAAGCACTTAACAATTACCGAATTAGAAGAGTTTAGAATAGAAGCTCCGTCCAGCCACGGTGCAAACACGCCGCTTCCGCCCGGCAGCGTTCCCACATCCAACATGGCTCCTCGACGGCTTCACCCGCTTCGCAGCCCCCCCCGCCGCTCTGAACTTGCCGTGCCCTTTCCCAAAATGGCGGCCGCCAGCTTCACCCCGCGGCTACCTTGCCCGGATGACGGCCCGGTCGCGCGGTCACGTGGCGGAAGGCGAGTGCGGAGCGGTGCCGGGCGGCGCGCCGGGTTTCTCCTCCTGGCCGTGCCGTGCGATCGGCTCCCGTGGGGTCCAGGGCCTCCCGGGGACGGCGCGGCTTACGTACGGGACGGTGCTGGAAGGCCGGGATCGGCGGCAGCAGGGTGAGCGGGGCCGGTGGGCGCGGGCGGGCCGGTGGGCGCGGGCGGGCGGGCGGGCGGGGAGGGAGAGCTGTGGGGGAAGGAGGTGGGGGGAAGGAGAGCCGGGGGAGGGGAGAGCGAGCGTCCTCCGAGCGGCGTTCTGTTCCGCAGTGCTTGTCCTCAGCCTGATTTCTCTTTCCTTTTCCTGGCCGAATTTCGGCGCCCCGTTACGCGTCCTCCGGGGGGGGGGGGGGTGGTTGGAGCTGCCGGGCAGCCGGCGGCTGGGGGCTGTGCGGGCTCTCGTGGCGGTGATGCTGCAGCAACGCGTCCTCCGCGCTCCCTTCGCTGAGCTGTGCCGCGTGTGCTCTGTGGCTGTGCTGAGGCTGCACGAAAGACATCGCGGTTGGTGTCTGCAGACTCGTGAAGGAAATTTACACTCGCGTTCCGAAGACGGCGCTCTCTTCCGCCCCTCCCTTTTGATGTAGAAATGCGTCTATGATCGCTGTGAGCAATGTCTTGAGAAGGAACCGAGGAGCTGAGGATTTCAATTCGCGCTGCTTTTTTTCCCCCCGTACTCTCTTCCCCCCCATGCGCCACCATGCGGCCATTATCTGCTAATTGTGCTTTTAATGGTGATTATTTTTCTCATGATCCTAACGCTGTGAATTTCTCAGTGGTTGCTGAGACGAAGGTAGTCATAAATACAGGTTTTAGCATTATTGTATCTAGGAATAGAAAATGCCCAACATCTAATCACGTTCTGCTGCAAAAACACAAAGCATAGTCCCTTTTTAAAAAAGCAAGAGACAGAGCACGTCTGACCCTTTATTACTCTAAGGGACCGATGTTTTCATGTGGCACCAGGCAAGACAGGGAAGCTCTAGGACTTGGTATGCTTGCATTGATGCTTCTCTCAGCCTGTTTTTGCTTTTCTGCAGTAGCATAACATCCTAGGCAGTGGCTTCCCAATAATCCTCTCGAGTCAAATGACCTTAATGCTTAGACCTGATCACAGTCATGAATATAAATGGTTTATCATTAGGCTGCATTTCTGAATTTTCACTGTGTGTGTGGGAAGGTACGTGCAATGTCCATCTCTTCTGGAGTGTTTCCCTTCCTGCTGCTGACTGTTTCAGTCAGCATCAGTCTTGCACTCTGGTAAGGCCTGATGCTTGAGAAATGGACCTTGGAGGGGGTGGGTGGGAGCTGTGCATCCAACGCAAGTTTTTGCCTTGCTGTGCTTTTACAGTAGGATATAAGTTCTGCATGTGAAGTATTTAAGTAACGTCTTGTTTTCGTGCTGTTACTGACATTCTGCATGGCCACGTCTTGAAGTGAAATCAAGGAGAAAAGCATCGCCTGCCAAGCTGTAGAGATGATGTTAATAGCATATAACTGTGACGAGGCCAAGCGTTGTAGAGAGCTCTCACAGCACGGCTGCTCTTTCAGTGAGGCTGCAGGCTGCGGGCCAGAGGATGAGAAAAATAAGCACCTGCCTTGAATTTT